CCATGGAAAGTCCGTTTTCTTGCCATTGATGTCCAACTAGAAAAAAAAAGGAGTTTTTGGGAAATCACCCTGAAATCGTCTACCTCCCTCCTAAATTTCTTGAAACAAGGTGTACGAGCAGTAGAAGCTGNACACGAAGATGAACTCCTCGAGCTTCAACCACTTGTACGCGGACCTGAGTGTGAGGTTCTTCTATCAAGTTATGCATTCATTAGGTTATAGCCTGAGGTCCAAAGTTGCTAATTGGGTAACTGATAAATGAATTTTTTTCCAACAAAAACGTTATCACGTACGAGCTACATAGTTGAGATGGTAATGAAAAGGCAAATCGAGAAAAAATGAAGTTAAAAGGGACTTGAGAGTATGAACAATCAGAAAGGAATTGGCCAAAATTCCTGGGTGAACGGCTGCCTTTGATGGGATGCGACACGCATTCTACCTCTCTGAGGACTTGGAAAACTCAGTCCAAAGATACTATAGAAAATCAGCTGACCTTATCTGGACCGTCATCAGGATCCGAAAGGAGTATGTGATCGGATGTGAGGGTTCGACTGAAAATAGACTAGTTACGATAACTTTCAACTATTTGAGCAAATCAAAAATTTGGGTCAAGCTTTTCAACCGATTTTGACGATCTCTTTTGTGGATGTGAGTATAATTTCTGTTAGTGAGATGGAACCTTCACCATGTGCCCAAGCATGTTCTCTGCTTAAGCAGTTGATTTTCAAGTCATTCGCCTTGTGTCGATTTTTTAGATAGGTGGTACCAGGCCCAGAGGATGTGAGGATAGTCGCCAGCCGCTGGCTCGATTTCAACCCGCAGGGCCAAGAAATGAACTTCTTACAGTGGGCAAACTTGATAGAGAAGTATCAGACATTGGAACTTGTGGTTACCCAATAATTATAATTTGCTCTCTCAGTTAGAGAGCCCAGATGATAGAAGAAAAAGTTTCAGCCCATAATTCGATCGATAAGGTTAGAAACTCAAGACCATGACATTCTGTAGGGCAAGTTTACCAGCTACTGGAACTTTTCATCAAAAATGTGACTTTTGCGGATTGAAATTTTAAGGAGGAGTCCAAAAAATCGTCTGACCTTCCTTTAGCTGATATCTTGATCACTTGTACTCCTTTGGTTCCAGTAAGTTCCGGAGGGTCGTTGACGGGATTGATGCGAATTCGCAGCATATATGTGGTTGAATCCAGCCATGGAAAGTCCGTTTTCTTGCCATTGATGTCCAACTTAAAAAAAAAGAGTTTTTGGGAAATCACCCTGAAATCGTCTACCTCCCTCCTAAAATTTCTTGAAACAAGGTGTACGAGCAGTAGAAGCTGCTACTGCAGCTGACGCTAGCAAAAAATTGGAAATAGATGAACCCCTCAGCATTGATCAGCTCCGTTCGACGAGTTTTCGCTTAAGCTGTAGTAAATGCATATGTCAATGTTTTTGTGTTGATAGAAAAACTCGTACTTAGCCACTCCTGATTGAAAAGAAAGAAGCCTATGACCGAGCTCGAATTTGCGCTGGAAATTCTCCCAACAAATCATGGGAATGCTGACGGCGCGTCTTCCCGCTGCTTTACCCCCAGCTACCATTTCTTCACGCCTTTTTGTCAAATGTGAGATATCACCTGGAATTCCAGCTGATCTTGGGTGGTCTCGCTTCCATCGTGTCTATAGATGACACTCCGCGAAAGTAACTGGCTGTAATCGAATGTGGCACAAGGCTGACCATCCAAATTGAGAGTTCCGTGATGAGGCCCTTCCACGATCTGGAATGAAGGATACAGAACGACGAAAGTCTCTTGGCGTCAATGATCAACCCCGTTTGCAGGACGCACCAGCGCAATCTACTTCCATCTAAATTCGTAGTGGCATTTCCGAATACGTTTGAGGCCTTAGTAATAAAGGGATGACCAGCCCATGTACAAGTAAGTCCCCTTATTCTCCCAGACGAGTCTAATATAGTTAACC